CGCAGACCTCTGCGCCCCGGAGCCGCCGTCATGGCCCGGGCGCACCCGGCCCAACTTGGCTGTCAGTCGCCAGAGTTTTTCCAGATCCTCCAGTGTCCGGGAAGTGAGTTTCTACTTAGATGCCAGCTCTTCGCATCCCGGTGCCTGAAAGCATTTAGCCCCAGGATCGCACAGCGTCCCAGCTTGGGCGCTCACTCCCTGTTTCCCCTTTTTCCTTGGACGCCGAAGATCTGGGAGTGCAGGCTCTGTCTTCCGTAGAACCCTGTCCCCTCCAGGTCCAAAGTAGTAGCTGAGGAGATGGATGAAAGGCCAGAGAATCAAACCCCGGTACTCTGTTGCTTGCTGTCTCTGTCTCTCTAGCGTCTCAAGAGAGGAAACCGTGGTTTCTTTTGAAATGGCAGCAATTAGAACTGGGAGGCTCTGACCAGAATTACATAGCCACAACTGCCTGTCATTTGACATCCTCTGTAATTTGGGCCAGCCCAGTGCAGCTGCCTCTTCCCTTTACTAGCACAAGCAGCTCCAGGAACAGCACATTCGTGTTCACAGGAAGATAAAACTGTGTTCTAGACCCTGCCCAGTTGGCACCGATTCTCCCCAGGGCAAAGGCTGTATCTGGAGCTGCCGCCTCTTCAGAGCGGTGGAGACTATAATTCCAGTTAAGGAATGGAAACGTTGACTGACAGCAAGGAAAAAGCGAGTTGTGGATCTGGCCTTGTGCTCCTGCTACAACAGGCTGCAGTGAGTCACTTTCAGGAAGCTCAGCTTGGTGACGTCCTCTCGCTGGCACAGCTTGTCTCCTCCGTGTCAGACCACACATTTCCCTGTCTTTTCTCTAGGGTAAAAGTTCCCTGATGGCTCAGCTGGGAGCAGTTGTGGCGGTGGCTTCCAGTTTCTTGTGTGCATCTCTCTTCTCGGCTGTGCACAAGATAGAAGAGGGACATATTGGAGTATATTACAGGTACGGCAAGACAGGAGAAGCTTGCAATTTCCTATTAGATGACTCTGCAGAGTCTGCTGAATATCTGTGTTTCTATCTTATTGAATAAAGCAGTCTTTTTAGATTGAGCTTTTATGTCATTGACGTGTGTGTGTGTGTGTGTGTGTGTGTGTGTGTGTGTGGTTTAAGACCTTCCTTCATATTTTGTTAGGATGCTTGATAGATAAGTTTATAGATTTAGAGACAAGCCTGAAGGAACCAGCGTTTCTTGCAGGCCATTCCTGAAATATTTTCTCCTGCATCCATCTGGGAGTCTTGGTTCCACACTACCAGGTTACCTCTTTAAAAGCTCCATGTCCCAATTCTTGATGGCAGTTTCTGAAGACAGCCCACCCTAATTTGGGAGGCTCTTCTAAAATGAACATTTCAAGAAAAACGAAAGGCCCTGCAGATCGATTTATATCGATCAAGACAACCCTTAGTACAGTGTTCCTTATAGTGAAAGAGCACATTATATCACTGTTTATTTTATTGCTTTTTTAAAAAATATTTTTTACTTCATAATACAAAGTAAAGAAGCACTTTTAAATCTTGGGTTGCTTTCCTTTTTATAACTTTGAGAGAGGTTTTGTTTGAAGTCTTTATGAACCCCTTAAATGTGCCTGTGATATTTATCTCTGGATTGCTTATGGTGAGTTCTAAAACTCTTTCTGAAGCTAAGGATGCTGCTCAACGATGGAACAGGTGTGAAGCCCTAGATTCAGTCCTCGGCACCAAAAAATACGATGTACTTAAAATTCTTTTGTGTTAGACATGTCCCTGGATTCATTATTACCATGGCCAGCTGATAACTGGATATGTGCATAACTGCTCTAATGGATTGCCATAAAATAAACTAATATGACAAGGTAAAACTTTCTTATCCTGAGTGTAGCCAGGAAGTCTGCTATTGTAATTTCACTCAGCCTGTGTGCATGTCTTTCTTTTTGCAAAAGCGTGACTAATGGTTTTCCGTTTCACCATTAGGTTTCCTAGAATATTAGGGTTGAGGTGAGAAAGGAAGAAAGGGCTCTGTGTACTGTGGACCTGGCTTGGTACCTTTCACTCTTACACTGAGTGTTTAGAAGGCTGGGGAGAACGCTGGCCTATGTGGCCTTGTCCCGGTAGCTCCTCTGTGCACTGACCCAGCCTCTCCCTCCCCTCTGCAGAGGAGGTGCACTGCTGACTTCCACCAGCGGCCCTGGTTTCCATCTCATGCTTCCTTTCATCACTTCGTTTAAGTCCGTGCAGGTACATTTGGCCGGTGGGCTACGGTGGGGTGACTGCGCGTTTAGGTTGTTGATTAGGACGTGGTTGGAAATTATTGAGCCACTGGGTGAGGAAAATGCCTTTTCGGAGACTCACGCTGGGAGCTTTCCTTGGTTCTTGAAACAGCTGAATGGAGGCATTGCTTCGCCTGGCCCATCAGCTGGAGGTAGGGGTTACATCTTCAAGACGAAGCCAGAGAAGAATCTACTACTGTGTCCAATATGTGGCCCACGGGCCACTTGCCCTCTTTTTTTTATACTATAAAAATTTTTTTAAAAGAAAGGCTATTTATTTACTTTAACCATGTCATATATTTTATATATGGCCCAAAACAATTCCTCTTCATTCTATGCAACCTAAGTAAGCCAAAAGCTTGGGCACACATAGTAGACGAAAAGTCATGTCCCAGGCTATCATGTTATATAGAAATAAAATATGACAGTTTTGCTGGTTCTTTCTTGAACTTCAGAAAAGTGGGCTTAATTTTTTTGGAAGGAAGAAGAAAGTTGGATTGGACAGGGATATGACATCAAAAATAGGAGCAAGATTAGCTGTGACAGATCTAAAGCTTGGCTAAGTCAGAGTAGACATCTGTAAAGTAGACCCAACTAAGAAGAACGAGAAGATTTCATCTCTTAAACTACACCAGCAAGATACAAAGATCCCTCAGAGTCACTTTCCTCTGAGTGCTTTCTCCCTCTTAACATGCTCTATGGCTTCCACAGTGCATTTTGGTACTGTATCTCATTTGAGTCCCATAGTAATCCCAAGAATGGGCGAAGCAGGTTAAGTAAAGAATCTACTGTTTCCAAACTAGCAGATAGAAGAGTAAAGTCTTAGGATTCCTTAACAAGTTCACCCTCGGGCCGGGCTGTAATTTGAATGTCTTTCTGCCAGGCAGCTTGAACTGCTGCTGCTACCTGCATGATTGCTCGAGCAGGTGGCCTTTTATTAATTTTGTTGGTAAAAAAGATAATAAAAGTGTTGAGATCCATGTGTACCACTGGTGCAATCTTATTAGCTGGTTGTAATTGGACCCACACTTGTACCCACCCCGTGGTTTTGTACCCATCTCATGATTTTTGCTCTCTAAAGTATTCCTGGAGAAAGGACCTCTGTGGCAGCCCACTTTCAGGTCCCCTCCTGTCTCTCAGGAGCTATCTCTCCATAAAATCTTTGCTACTCATAACCTCCCTAGGATTCATTCTTCTATTTCAGGGGACACACACTTGGCGTTTCTAGCATCTAGTAGGTTGGGAGTTATATTTTCTCCTATAACATCAGGAAGGAAGGTCAGATGGGATATCCTTATGTAATATAGACAAAGCTTAACCCAAACAAGTGAGCAAGGATGGGACCATTTGGGATTCTGAATAGGAAGTGACTTTGTCACTGCCTACCTGACAAAATGTGATGTTTCTTCTATTCCCAGACCACACTTCAGACAGATGAAGTGAAGAATGTACCTTGTGGGACCAGGTAAGGTGCCCAGAATAGAGTTGTTAAACCCCAGTAAGTAAGTGGAAGAGACTAACTGGTTGGCTGGTTGGCCGGTTGGCTGCAGGAAGAGACAGTGACACTGTCCAAATTCCCTATCCCCGCCTCGCTCTGTTCAGAGTTACCAAGGCGATAAAGTGCAAGAGAGAAGACCCCGGGTTTGTGAAGGGCCAGAGTGCCACAAGCAATATTTTTATGATTAATATTTGAAGAAAAGTGATGGTGAAGCCAAAGTGAGAAACACAGTCGTGTGTTCATCGAAAGACATTGTTGATTCAGAAGATGTAAACTGCATTTTTCTGACTGGAACCCTGAAGGTCTTACTGGAATCTCTCTGTGGAGGTGTTTGGAGGTGTCATGCCTCAGGAGATTGTCTTGTTGCTGTGAGCTCTGTGGATCTCCTTAGAGATCCAGGATGCCTTACATTCCATAAATGCTTCTTTTCTGCCAGTCACACATCTTAGGAGACTGCGTCAGATGCCGGATTTATTTAATGACATCTTTGCCTCTTCTCCCTCTGATAGTGGTGGTGTGATGATCTACTTCGATAGAATTGAAGTGGTGAACTTCCTGGTTCCAAACGCAGGTATGTCTTCCGGTGTCCACTCCTCAGCAGCCTGCTTTCCTTCATTCTGTCTTGGCACCTCCAAAAGGGAAGGCTGCTCTTTGAGAAAAAGTTTGATAACGGAGTCTTGCATGTTCCTAGCTAAGCCTCTCTCCCCACCCTTCTCAGTGTATGATATAGTGAAGAATTACACTGCTGACTATGACAAGGCCCTCATCTTCAACAAGATCCACCACGAGCTGAACCAGTTCTGCAGCGTGCACACACTTCAGGAGGTCTACATTGAGCTGTTTGGTAACGTGTCCCCCAGTCATGCCAGGCTTTAGCAGCCCAGTGTCTCCCCACTGCCTGGTCCTGAGCTGCTACAAGATAGGGTGGGTGGTGCACGGCCACGGGTCATGGGATTCCTGGGAAATGTGGGTGACAGTGCAAGACGATCTTGGGGTGGTTGGGCTGGGAGCACAGGAATAACAGTGGAAGAGAGTATTCACTTCTGGCTCAGATCAGGACTGGAAGAGAAATGTGTCCTCGCTGTCCCTAAAATATCCTGTACTGAAGACAGTGTCGTTTCTAGAAGAAACTTAGACCCAGTTTCTTCATTTGAAGAAACTGTGACCCAGTATCCTCATTTGAAGAGCCCTAAAGTGAGAAAGTCAGAGCTGGCTGATAGCAGAGCTGAAACTAGAACCTTCCTCTCCTACCTGTCAGTGAGGCCCGGAGCAAGAAGGTCACAGAGCTAGGTGCTAGTTGATAGCAAAGCTGAAACTAGAATCTTCCTCCGAGCTGTCACTTCAGTATTCTTTTCTTCTGTGTTCTCAGTGTCCCATGCCACTCTGAGTGAAGGGCCCCAGGGATAGGTGATAAGAACGATATTGTACACAGTTAATTCTAGAAGGGAGTAAGACCATAGCTTCTCACAGCTCCCAGGAGGGTGTGTGCATGCACGTGTGCATGCATGTGTGTGTTTTATTCTGTCCCTCTAGAGGTGAATAGGAAAACACTAAACAAAAAGGACCCACATATTTAAATAGACACCTTTGGTCCTTTTCAGTTGCAAAGGAAGAAAACATTTTCAGTAATTGTTAGTTTCTTTGAGCTATTGTTTAAACTTGCTCCTGTCACAGTGCATGTGAACTATCTACTGCGAACATGTATTAAAAATAAGTAGAAAAAATAATAAACTTGATTCTAGAAATTTTCTAATAGCCATTGCTAAAAGTTAATGGATTTTTCTTGAAACTAGTATTGGAAAATGATAGTTCCTAGGAATTCTCATAAAATGGACCCTGAGCAAGATTTTTTTTTCCCCCCCAGAGCTGGGTCAAACCCAGGGTCTCATGCATGCTAGGCAAGTACTCTACCGCTGAGCCTCATCCTTAGTCCACGAATGGTTTTAGAAGGAGAAATCATTGATGTAGCCTATCATCACAATTAAGCAAATAGCCTTTGTACTATTAAAGATTTAGGAAATCATCAGAATCACATTTAATTTTTTGCAGGAAAAAATGAATCAATTTATTTTGAAGGTTTTGGGTTCTTCTGTTATTTTTGGATTCGTTATGCCTTTAAGAAAAAAAACTGGTGAAATCACTGCTGAGTTTTGTTTCCCGAAACTAATAGAATTTTATGAAATATTAGTTTTCTGTGTGGCTGTTTTAGGGCTTGTGCCATTAAATGAGTATTTCGAAATATTTGAAACAACAAAAGACAATGGATCTCTAATGTCCCTGAAGAGAAAAGTAAAATACTAAATTGTTACTGTCTTATAGATAGACTTGGTAACTGAGTGAAGTATAAATTTTATAGAGGAGCTGAGAAAGTGTATTTGCTGCGAAACTTTTTCTCCTGTAAATTTCACTCTTGTTCACTCTCTTGCTTGGAGTCAGTGCCTCCGTAGAGGAAACTTGCGTCCCTAATGATGCCCTCGAGCTTGGGACCTGCTTCTACACTTCCTCCCCAGGATGCTCGCAGCCTCCACTTCGGATGTAGCTGCATGACTTTCATCACCTTCTTCCTCTGCCGCCTCTTTTTTGTCCATTTCATGAGAATATTTTCTAATACTTGCTCAGAAGACGCTTACAGAGGAACAAAACTCAGTCGGTGCTTGTTAGCACCCCCTCGTGTGTGAACAACGGGTCAGGAGTAGCACTGAAACACTGTGCCATATATTTCTAGACTTCACCAGACCCATGGTACCTAGGCCCTGTGCCTAGCTATAATTTGGTCTAATAAAGGAGAGGACAGGCCATCGGGCCTTTTTTTTATTTTGAATCGAGGTCTTGCTAAGTTGCCCAGGTAGGACTTGAACTTGTTGTCCTCCTGCCTCAGGTTCTCAGAGTACTGGGATTATAGGTGTGTGCTCCTGGGGCTGGCTCATAAGGCCACATAGAGTTTGGCGGGGAGCTGGGAGTGGTAGCGTACAGGCCCAGCAGGTGAAAGGCCCTGGGTTCAATCACTAGCACCACAATATAAAAATGTTTAAAAAGGAAAGGAGGGCCGGGGATTTAGCTCAGTGGCTCTGCCACCTGCCTGGCAAGCACAAGGTCCTGAGTTCAATCCCCGGTACCAAAAAAATAAAATAAAATAAAAAGGAAGGGAAGCTAAAGTGGAATTTTTATGAAAAAATAGAATAGTGGGTATTTGTAGTTGTCATATCATTAGGCCCACATCATTCAGGAGGTGCTGACTGATTTTATGACATTTCTTCCTCAGCGCTGAGAGGTTTGTGGAAACTTAACCAACATGTAGAAACACGACAGTCCCTTGCTTGCTGGTAGGACAGTTAAAGAAAGCACTGTTTGAAAATCCTAACGGTCAAAGTGTGGTAATTAAACAGCTTCTTTTGCCATGCTGGGAATGGAACCCAGACCCTTTCCCACGAGACTGGGGAAATACTCTCTCACTGACCTATACCCCAGTCAGCAGGTTCAATTTTGGCTGCTAGCTGGCTTCCGTGGACTTCAGTTTTGGCGTCTGTAAAAGGAAGTAGATTGGCCGTTCCTTGCTTGGGCACAGCTGACCAAGAAATGGCCACTTAAAGCAGTTAGCAGCTGACAGTGAGGGAGGTGGTTCTATTTAGAAGTCCCAGCCTGCTTCACCTTCAGTCTTTGTTGGGACTGTTCAGTGCTTGTCTATCTTTAGGAAGCTTCTAAAATTACTGGATTTAATTGCTCATCTATTTTCAGAGGACTCAGCGTAGCCGTTCTTTCTGCTTTACTGAAACTGCGGGCCTGCCTTCTCTTTTACTGCAATTATCTAGGGAAAGGCTGCTGCCTGACTCAAGGAATGTGGCAGGATTGTTCTTTTTCTAAGCTCAGTCTTTTGTGGGGCATGATTAGGTAACTTTTACCTGTGGCCACAGAACAAGTATTTCTACATGTTGCTCCTGTGACGGCTGCTTAAGTGTGCGCCTCCAGCAGCCCAACAGACCTTTGGGCCCCTGGACTTGTTAAGTACATGCCTTCACAAAAACCTTGTGCTTGTCCGGTACATTCTTGAGCTGGTATTCCCACTTGTACCATGCCTTCTGCCTTCCAGGGTGTGTAACAGTTCTTTTTCTATGTCCTTCTTGATTCCAGATCAGATTGATGAAAATCTCAAACTGGCTTTGCAACAGGACCTCACTTCCATGGCCCCTGGACTTGTCATCCAAGTAAGCTTTGCCAGCGTGGCAGCGTCCCTTCTCCGAGACATTGCACCTTCTCTTTCAAGGGATGTCCTTTTTGCACAGGAGGGTCTAGCACCTGTGAGAATGTATGTCCCTTAGTACTCTGACCTTCCCGTCAGCTGCCGTTTGTGTCCTTCTCCAGGCTGTGCGGGTGACCAAGCCCAATATCCCTGAGGCGATCCGCAGAAACTACGAGCTGATGTGAGTATGTCCTGTGCCTCAGCTGTGCCAGGCTCTGCAGTTAACTCCCTTTCTTAAGCATCTAATAAGACCTGTTGCGCTATCAGATTGGGCTGGCGATCAGGGCCCGTGCTGGGCTTCCTAACTGACTTGAGTGCACAGGGAACCCTAGGAAGGCTGTGTGCTGTGTTCAGTGGCTCGTGCCAGAGATGGAAATATGACAACAAGATAGTGCACAGGCAGGTGTAGCTTCCGGAAGTGCATTCACTTTCTGGCTGGATTTGGCTTTGAGACCGGGTCTTGTGTTGTCCTTGTTGGTCTGGAAGTCCTAGGCTCAAGTGATCCTCCCACCTCAGCCTGCTGAGTCGGTGAGTCTACTGGCACGAATCCCAGTGTATCTAGCCATTACGTTAGATTTTATTTCTCACAGATAAGGTATCTTGTAGGCAAAGAAAAGCTGTGTTAGCCCTGTCACTGGCAGTAGCTCTTTTGGGGCTGAGGTGAGGCAGAGCATCATGGCCAGGAGCAGGAAGTAGAGCAGACCTGCCCCCTTCTGGCAGCTGGGATACAGAACAGAGAGAGCTCACCTTTGTGACACAGTCCTTCCCCAAAACCGATGGCACCGATGAGATCGGAGGCCTCATGAGCCTGGCACCTCCCCTCTGAACACTGCTGCTTTGGAAACCAATCCTTCAACACAGGGACTTCTGGGCACAGTCCACATCCAAACTCTGGCAAGTGCTGTGTTGTTCTTGCAACAGATCGGCCTTTGCCTGAGCCCGTGGGCAGCCTTCCAGGGGAGAGCAGGAAGCCAGTGTGCCTCTCCCCACTGCAGAGTGGCTCTCCAGGGATAGTGAGTGCCTTGGGTACTTTCTCACAGCTGCACACTCTCTTCCCCTTCAGGGAAAGCGAGAAGACGAAGCTTCTCATTGCAGCTCAGAAACAGAAGGTGGTGGAGAAGGAGGCTGAGACAGAGCGGAAGAAAGCCCTCATCGGTCTGATTATGGTTTTGTGCTCCCCTCTGAGGCCAAAGGGCTGGGGTTAGATGGAAGAGGCAAGGAAGGCCCATGTGTAATTAGACCACCCCCTCTCCCACATTTCAACCGAACAGGAGTGGCATTCCTGTCCCCAGAAGCAAAGTTCACAGTGTCATATCATGGCCAGCAATAATGAGTTTAGTTTCCACCTCCCTCTTAGGTGGAGGGAGCCTTTGCTGTTCTTTGCTAATTCCCAAGATAATGGCTGACACATACTGCGAACCGTGTGCTTCCCTGAGCACTTGATGCATGAAGCTCAGTCCTCACAAGCACCCTGTGCAGGAGATGCTGTCATTACCGTGTTCTGTTGACTTGAAGCACAGAGGGTTAATAACAGATCCATGGTCTTGTGGAGCAAGTGGGGGCTGGAGTTCCAGGCCAGGGGCTCTGGCTCTAGAACCTGTGCTCCCAGTCACTACACCACATGACCACCAGCCAAGCTGTGTGCTTCCTAAAATAAAGGCCTTAAAATATTCGTTTGGGAGCCAGGCATGGTGGCACTCTCCTGTAATCCCAGCACTTGGGAGACTGAGAACGGAGAATCACGGTGTGTTCAAGGCCAGCCTAGAATACATAGTGAGACCCTGATTCAAAAAAACAAGCAAACGAGCCATCCCTTTGAACAAAGCAGCCTTGTGATTTAGAAGTTAGAGCTCTTCCTCACCGTGCTCCCCAGTGCAGTCTCCCCAGTGCCCATCTCAGGGATGGTGTGCTGCTGTGCTCTGCCCATACCTGCCTGGTGCTGCTGTCCTCTGAGGACAGCAGCGCTCCCTCTGAGCGTACCTGCCGCTCAAGTGAAGGAGGAAATCAGCTGGACACTTGAAGTTACCAGTGCACTAAGTCCTTCCTCAACCTCATTTACGCAGAGGCAGAAAAAGTGGCTCAGGTTGCAGAAATCACCTATGGGCAGAAGGTGATGGAGAAGGAGACTGAGAAAAGGATTTCGGAAATTGAAGGTGAGCAGAAGTAGCCTTGGTCGATCCTGAGTTTTGTGGGTGACAGGGTTGTTCCTGTGCTCTTCAGTCTCTGTGCTGCCAACACTGCTCACTGAGGCCAGCCTCACTCCCAAGGCAAAGGGTGGATACTATGTCTTCTGCCTCCAGACTCAGAGCAGAGTAGGAAGTATATTGCTTGCATAGGTCCGTGTCCAAAGGGCTGTTGGTCTGAACCACAGGATATAATTCTCCCAGAATTGTGCCTGCTTAAGCGCTATTAATCCGAATCTTCAAAAGATGATTGGTGAAAATAAAAAGGGAATGGACTTGAACATTTTTTGACACTTACGGTGCTCATTTATGGAGTTCTGGTCATATTCGGAGCCTTCTTTGAGGTCCCTTGAGTTGTGTAGCATGAGAGGGCTGAGATAGAAAGTTCTAGAACAAGAGCCTGAGGCAGGGGCACCACCCTGTTGCTCCACGGATGTGGAACTGTAGAAGCAGGAAGCTCATGGGACAGGAGGTGTCTGGGGTGGCAGGCTTTATAGATCATGCTATCAAGCTGCACGATTTCCGCCACAGCAGCGGTGTTGTTCAAGTCCCTATCCGAGAGAGGTGCTTTCAGAGCACTTTTTCTCTCTTGGTTGATCCTTAAGACTAGTACAACAGGAAAAGAAATGCCTTTTCCCAACTTCGTGAATGAGGAAACCAGAGAACAAGGAAAACAATCTTCCCCAGGGTCACAGATCCTCAGGAGAGCAGCTACGGGGACCAGAGCTTCGTCTCTGGGTCTGGTTGGATGGTCGGTTGGTCTGGGGGTGGGTGTTGGTGGTGCTTGCGATGGCACCCAGGGCTGCATCCAGGTGAGGCAGGTATTCTACCACAGAGTCATGCCACCAGCCACACGCCATCGTCTCCTCGTGGTCCCTGCATCCTCTCCCACCCCTAGATGCTGCATTTCTGGCTCGGGAGAAGGCAAAGGCCGATGCCGAGTGCTACACTGCTCTGAAAATAGCTGAAGCCAATAAGGTAATGGGGCAGCGTGGCTTTGGCGTTTGTGTGTGTGCTGGGAGGTGCCAGTCTTCGGGGCTGTACCTGAGGACCCCTGTACTATGTGGGGCAGGTGCTTCACTGTGACTACAAGCCTTCGTAGAAGTTTCCCTTTTATGTTAAACACGGAATCTTCAGAAACTCTGGCTGCTCTGTCTTGAAGGCTTTAAACTAGTTTCTCTGAGAGAAGCGGTTTTCCTATTACTTGGGTTACGGGATGCCTGAGAATAGAGGGGGACACATGTCTTTGACAGAGGCTGTCTTCATAGGACAGTAGAAGGGTGCCGCCCCAGATTTTCTCAAATATTCATCCTACTCATGCCTTCTTTACTGTTGGTCACAGCTGAAGCTGACCCCCGAATATCTGCAGCTGATGAAGTACAAGGCCATCGCTTCCAACAGCAAGATTTACTTCGGGAAAGACATCCCCAACATGTTCCTGGACTCCGCAGGCGGCCTGGGCAGGCAGTTTGAGGGGCTGGCTGACAAGCTGAGCCTTGACTTAGGAGATGAGCCCGTGGAGGCCGCCGCGAAGGAGAACTGAAGGAAGGAAAGTACACAACCTCAGATAACACTCAAAGAGATCTTTATTTTTAAGATGAAACTGAATGCTCCTTCCTCCCACGCTACCTTCTCGGACTCCTCAAGTTGTTGTGAAAAAGAAGAAGAAATGGACTTAAATCTGTTCCCCTTCCTGGGAAGGGGGGTTGGGATCAATGGTTGGGCTTTTCTTCAGGTGAGTAGGTTACCCGGCTTCTGCTAAGATGTGTTAACCATGGGTTTGACTTCTGACCTGCAGGACTGATCTGTCGCTGTGAATATGGCTTAGTTAGGAGCGCTGTCACCAAGCCGTGGGAGCGAGGCAGGCTGCTGCCTCCAGGAGATTTGGTTCCTCTTATCTGGGGAAATGCAGTCTGCCTTTCTCTCTTCTTCCTCCGGGCTCACAGCTGAGCAGAAGAAAGCTGCGGTGTAAGGGGTGGTCATTTCAGAGGCAAAGTTTTGTTTGTTTTCTTGCTTTGGAGCCCTAGTAAGGAAGAACTGGTGCTAGGTTTTGCAAGATTTTCTACACACAATGCTCTTTCCCTGGGGCTCAGGGTGGTGGTTGTGACGACATTTCCAGAGCCACGGCTTCCTTCTCCCACTCAAGTCTTTTTGAAACTTTTCACCTAGTCTGTGATTTGATTTCTTCTCAAGTAATCTGTCTGTTGGTTCTACTCAGTACCAAGAATACCGAAACAAATAATCAAGGGTCTTCCTGGCTGCTGACCTGGGATCGCTGTACTTGCCAGCCACTGCTGTATCTGCTTGGCGGACTGTGTGTGTGCGTGGAGTCTTCAAGCTTGTGGAGGAAGCGGGTCAGTAAGGGCTGTCCAGTTGTAATGCCTTGGCTTGTGTCAGGGATCTGACACAGCGCTGAAGGGAGCCTTTCCGAGTAGCTCGCGATGCTAATTCTGGAGCTCCGGGCGGCCACTCCGAGTGGAACTGATTCTAAGTCTCCGGAAATGGCTCTGTGGATTCAAGGCAGAGTTCATGCCCAGGGCCTTGGGCTTGTGAGGAAAGCATCAGAATGCATTCACAGTTTTATTTTGATTCTGGGTGAGGAGAGCAAACATGAGAGAAAGGTTTTTATCTTGAAATTGGAGTTGGGGTAGGGAATTCAACCCTTACAGTCCAGTAACAGTGCACAGAATTGGTGAGTGGAGGACAGCCATCCAGAGTGAATTTGCATACGTGTTTTTACCCTGCATAATCCCCGTGACCCGCTCAGGTATAGGATTTGCCCTTGTTATTAGCTGCCCCACCAAAAGCAGAAACTACTGCTGTGCCCCTCTTCCCTAGGTGAGCACTATGCATGACTCTCTGGCAGCCGTTCCCCCTCATGTTCGGCTCCATGCCCGGGCTTCTGGTTCTTCACATGGGCACACCCAGCTTGCCTGGAAGATACACACTGTTAACTCCGCTCCGCACACTGCCCTGCTCCGTTCTGATTCCTGGCACTGGGATTTTCAAACCTCTGGTCCCCACCACATGGCGACGGCCGCAGAGCTCTCCTGAGCAACAGAGTCTCCTAAGGTCAGCATAGGGTGCCCTGCGTGACACCCTCCCCTTCCTCCCCCTCAGTGTAGTCCGTGACCTGTCGGTCTGGACGTCGAGGCACCCAGTACCCCTGTCCGCAGCTCTTTGCCGTAGTAGATTCTGCAGCAAGTTCATCGCGGTTCCAAAGAGTGCGCTTCCCACGGGGCTCTTAACTCGCAAGGCTCTGGTACCAGCGCCTTCAGTGCTCGTCCCTCGACCACAGATGAGCCTCGGTGACACCCTGCCGTGACACCCCTGCCCGTGTTCATGCACGTGGTCCTGCCAGGCAGCGTCAGTCCGGTAGCCGCGGGTACCTGCCTGAGGAGGGAAGTCATGGGAGTCAGTTGTGTCCTTATCTCGGGTTAACTGATGGTCCGACTGTTTGACTTTGTCTTTTTAACGCTTAGTAGGAAATCTAATCTTAAACTGTTGGAGTCCTGAACATGTAAAATGTGATAGCCTGCAGTTCTGTAGGCAGTGAAGTATTGGCTGCTATTTATAAGTGGAACTTTTATCAAAATAAGTAACTTTATAAAATTTAGTTTTTGTAGGATTTTTCAAGGAACAGTCACTGTGGTGGAGTGTTTCTCACGCGTTAAACTTTACAGAAGTGATTGCTATTCAGTACTGTTTTTAATCACTTTTTTAAATATAAGGACAGAACGTTTGTAAGGAAGCCAAAGTTTGTTAACAATTTTTTTACAACTAAAATAAAATGGATTTGGAGGGACCTGTGGTCATATGAAGAGGGAATCACTAATGAAGCTTACCAATATATTGACCCCCAGAAAGGAGGTATTTATAAATCTGTGGCTGTTCTGATGGGCCTGTGTGTCTTTCAGCACTGAAAACTACCATGTAAAGAGTCATGAGAATGAGAAGGTCGTATCTACTGACTTGGTCTGTTTAAGTTTGATTGAAGATAAACTTTATCTTGGCAAATAGCTACTCTGTCTATAAACCACTACTTCTTGGTTCTATGCGGTAGGGTTTAGCCACTGTTTTGTTGTTTCCTTGTAAAACAGGTAATAGCCATTCAGCTTGTGTTTGTATTTCCACTCCATTCCTTTTTCTCTCTGCTTTTGTGTAGACTGGTGACCGAAAAGTCAGAGTAATTTTTTCAGAAAGCCCCAAGGGCTTAATGACCCCTTGTAACAGAGAAATGATTCTTGTTATATTAATCATTCTATAAATTATACCACTGGATTAATTGCCTTGGGTCGATAGCTGGAGGAATTGTTTGGACAAAAGGCCTCATGTGAATTTATGTCTTAGTTTTCTTTTCAGTCTTGTTAAATAAAATGAGTCTGTGTTCACATTTTTGTTAAAGTAAAATTTAGCAACAGCTACTATTAAGATAGGTGATACAGGGCTGGGGACTTAGCTCAGTGGTGCTGCCGCCTGCCTTGCAAGCAGAAGGTTGTCCTGAGTTTGATCCCCAGTACCAAAACAAAAAAGTGATATAAAGAAATCAAAAATCTTGGTTAGTGAATGAAGAAGTCCTTCCTAAATATATTGAGGCGAAAATCCACTCCCACTGTCAACATAGGCAAACACCACCATCACCAAAATAAAGCCCTTAATTTCCAAACACGACATAACTCCTAGTAGATGCTGTAGGGATTTATAATTTTAAAGAATACATAGCTGCCAGACACAGTGATGCACACCTGTAATCCCAGTACTTGGGACGGTGAGGTAGGTGGGTTGCCGGGAGTTCAAGGCCAGCCTGAACTCCATAGCTCTGCTCCAAAGGGCAGAATTTTCAGTTGACCCAAAACTCATTTTGATGCTAGTTGAATAGGTCAGTTCTGGTCTCTGTTCTGGCCAGCTGCCAAGCCTAGTATTACCAGGTGTGATATAACGGTAGTGAGTTAAGTGTGAGTTTCAGATACATAATCAGTGATCTGTGTACAAATACTGCCTTAGATGGACTAAAATATATACAGGAGTCCACCACAAAAATGCATACACACTTCAGTTCTCCGTACTAGTAGTAAACGTCTGGAAGCTAACGGCCACTTTGAGCACCTCTTATAATTTTAGAGGCCAAAGGTAACTTGTGTGAATACCATGATGTCTTAGTAAATTTAGTATTCAAATATTTATACAAGTTTTTCTTTTCCTCATATGTACAATTTTTTGGCAGACTCTGTGTATATATTTATCTGAACTTTGCATTCCTGTTTTTGTTAAATCTGGCAACCCTAATCCAGGTATTCTTGTTTTATTTTTGTTTTGGTTTTTTGTTTGGTTGGTTGGTTTGGTTTTGGTTTTTTGAGACAGGGTCTCACTATGTAGTTGAGACTGATCTGGAACTCACTATGTAGCCCAGGCTGGTCTCAAACTCACAGTGATCCTCCTGCCTCAGCCTCCCTAGTGCTGGGGTTACAGGTGTGAGCCACTACGCCCGGCTTGTTTGCGCTTTTAAATACATTTGTTTTTGTTTTGTGGTACTGGGGATTAAATTCAGGGACACTCTCCTATGGAGCTATATGTCCCCAGCCCTTTTTTCTTTTTTAATTTGTAGTAAGATCTCACCAAGTTGCCCAGGCTGGCCTCAAACTTGGACTCCTCTTTCCTCAGCCTCTCAATTAGCTGGAATTACAGGCTTAGGCCACCATGCCCTGCTGTTCTTGGGCTTTTTTTATAATGCCTTCTAATCTTTTTTTATTAGTCAGATTGCCTGATACACAGATATATACTTGAAATTCAATGGGTAAGTGAGATCCTGTCTCAAAAAACAACCAGCAACAACTATATCATTTATCTACCTATGGACTGGAGGTAGACTAGTAGGGTTCATATCCCTGCCCTACCCCTTCATCTGTAAAACAGCTGGGTACATCCCCTTAGCCTCAGGTATTCACATGAGGCAGAAGGATTACAAGTTCAAGGCCAGCCTGGGAATCTTAGCAAGACTTAACTCAAAATAAAAAGGGCTGGGGATATAACTCAGTGGTGGAATGCTCCCAGCTTCAATTTCCCGGAGCCACCCAAAAAGGTTGTGTGGACTACATGAAATAATGCATATGAAGGGTTTTACCACTGCTTCACATGTGCACAAGTTCAAGAATAACTTATTTTCAATCATCTGGGAAAACAGACTACAAAACACTTAACTATTAAGTACCACCAAGTGAAAAATCAGATGTAAAAAAAAAAGGCTGTAAATAGGATAGCACACTGAGAAGAAAGCAGCTACAGGGCTATGCTCTGTGAGAACACACACTTCTGCAGAAATGTAGCATGTAGAAAAGAAGTGGGTTTAGCCCTGCGGAGAAGAGTTGTCTGGTTCTATGCTCCAAGTAAACCGAACAGCTGGGGATTGGCTTAGAGGCAGAGTTGCTCGCCTGGCATTACTGAGGCCCTGGGTTGGATCCCCAGCACCACAAAAGTAAATGACAAACTTGAAGAGGCTAGAAAGAAAAAAATGTTCAAAAGGAAAAAATTATTAAAAGATAAAACTCATAGCGGGGTACGGTGGGATATGTCTATAATTCCAGCACTCTGGGAGGCTGAGGCAGGAGGATCACAAGTTCAAATCCAATTTGAGCAATCAGTGACTACTAAGCAAGACTCTCTCAATAAAAAGGTTGGAGATACAGTTCAGTGTGAAGTCCTGGGTTAAAACCGCAGTACATATGGGTATGCACACACACACACACACACACACACACACACACACACATATCTTGGGCTAACCCAGAAAAGCCCAAAGGTAATTTTAACAATTTACATTTTAAATTCCATAATGGTCAACTTACTTACTATTCTGTAGTTCCTGGAGCATAAAAGAGCAAATTAAAAGGGGTGTGGGGAGAATTGGCCTGAAGAATGGAATATTTTTAAAGAATTTACATAAGATAAATCTGGCCAGTAATAAATAATTACCTGCAAATAGAAAATAATTAAATCCAGAGGCTAGCATGGGTAGCATTTTCTTACAGTCTTCAGAGATCGGGATGTTCTCTGCAGAAGGAAACAACTTGAAAGTCTTAAAAACTTGATGGCATTTACAGTGAATGAACTGACTAGGTTTTTGATAGCTTATAAGATCTATTCCTCTGGGTATTTGACCTTTTAATCCTTTTTTCTCCTTTGCCTTAGAAATTATTGGAGAGATTAAACATATTTATTGGCTATGGAGTGATTTTGGACTTGGCATTTTTGAAAGATTAAGTAGAAGAGAAGGGTGAAAGGTTGAATTGGATGGTTGCTATCCATCCAATTAAATAAGAAACTAAAAAGAAGGATTGGGGGTGTAGCTTAGTGACAGAGTATGGGTTCAATCCCCAGCACCCCCAAAAAAGTCCTTTAAAAAGTGGAATAAAACTAATTCAAAAATACAACTAAGCTAGGTAGTCCTATAGGCTCAGCACTAAGGAGGCTGAGGCAGGAAGATGGTGAGTTGGAGGCTACCCTGGGCTCTGTTGCAAGTTCAAGTCCAGCCTGGACTACATAGCAAGACCCTGTCCCCCCACCAAAAAAAAGAGCAAAGAAACTGGAATGTGACGTGATAATGAGACTATGATCACTGTGCTCATAAGGTGGTAGACTATTAGAGATAAAGAGCATCCTAGAAATAAACCCACAAGCCTTTCTTGCTCACCCTGGACTCCCCCCAGGATTCCTTTACACAGTAATGCCTCAGTCTACACTTGCTTTCTGGATAAAGGGTTAGAAAGTGCCTTGTAATTCGTGCAAGAGAGACCGGATCTATTAAACACAGATACAACTACCTATCATCACGGCCACCTGTCACCTGGATTACACATTCTCTGTAAGGTATAGTTTTTAAATATTTTCCAAATAGCACATCATCTGTTCGGATTCTTCATGCTCACCCTATCCCTCTACACCTCACAGCACCGTGTTCCCTCCATCACTTCCTGCTGGCCGGTTCTTTCCAACTTTCTGTCTCTACAACAAATATGTATTGGTTCATTCCACAAAGGGCTATTGGAGTCATTTTTTAAAAATTTGTATCACTTAGGTTGGAAGAGAAATATATTTAGAGATTTGATTTGAATAGCTCCTCCTAATGTGTTTGGCAATCATGGTTCACAGATAATCCTGTCACATACATCATGGTAAATGACAATGAAATTCTACCAAAAGAAGTCTCTACTCAGAGCTATTTTCCTAGAGCAGAATGTGAAATTTCACCTCCCTTCGTGGAATGCGAAACAGGTGAGAAACAGTGAGAATTCTGCCTCTTGTTTCAGGAAGACCTTTTTAGTAAGCCCCTCAAGACAAAAACTCAGAGAACAAACTTGAGCCCTTTCACCAACATAACAGCACCCCACTTCATTAAGTTGAATTAACATTTTCTCTTAATGATAATTGCAGCCAAAAGTAATTTCCTTAATCTCTCACCGGGTGTATTAGTGCACATCTGTCAACCCAGCACCTGGGAGGCAGTCAGGAAGATTCTGAGTTGGAGGTCAGCCTGTGCTATACAACCAGATCCTACCAAAACAAGCAAAACAAAAACAAAAAACCCCACTGGATTTAGGATACAAAGTGCAATTTTTTAAAATATTTGGTTTGCCTTTAGAAACTTCACCTAACTCAAAACAGACATTTTTTATTGGCGACCCTGCCAGTAATCTGAATGTAAGACCAACCAGAATGTATACAGATGTTTTAAAAGGAAAATATGATTAAAAAGAAGGAAGTCAAATATGATGGTGCTTGCCTCTAATCCTGCTACTCAAGAGGCTAAACCCGGAGGATCACAAGTTTGAGCCCAGCCTGGGCAATTCAGCAATTTAGACCCTATCTCAAAATTTGAAAAGTCAAAAGGGCAGGAATGTAGCTCAGTAGGAGGCCTGGGTTCAGCCCTGGGTTGGGGGTGGAGGGATTTGGGAGGTGTCTATTTTCGTTTTGCCATTGCTTGATGTGGAAATCTTATTCTGAATATATTGGGTTAAGTAAATCCTTTAAATTGCTTTCATTTTATAAAGATATGAGCAATTTTTAAATTACATGTGTGGATCGCACGCACTATTTCTATAGGAAAACCTTGGTCTAAAGGATGGAAAAAATAAAAATAACCCTACATTTGAATCAGGCCCTGTCTTTAGAAAGCGCTGTTACATCTTTAAAAAGTTTCTCACGTGAACCATCCAACATGCTAAAAAGCTTTGCCCCCGATTTAGCAATTTCTAATTCTGGTCCCTGTACCAAAAAAATGTACAATAGTTTACAGCTCTTGGAAGGTAGGGACGGGCAAACCCTGTAAGGCAATTTCTTTAGTAATTTAAAAATTTTTATTAGCGCATGTTTGCAGTACATAACAACGTGGGGAGCTGGTGCGCGGGCATAATACATCTTAATTATAAGGCATTTTGAAAGAGAATAGGAGCCTGAGAACAGACTGCGGTTTTTGCTTTAGAAAAGCCCCAAGAGGGTAGGGAGCGGCAGCCGCGCAAGGACCAGGACGGAGAGGCTCGCAGCAGGCTAGACCGCTGACCCGCTCCCCAAAGTCTTCCGCACTCTTTCTGGGAGACCTTCCCAAGATGGCCACCACCAGGGGGCGGGCCGTCCGCCTCCGCCTCCGCGCTCGAGGATGCCGATTGGGTAAAACAACTCGGTGGTGAGCAGTGATTGGGCCTCAGGCAGCGGCTGGGCGGACCGGAAGTTGACCTCCCCGCAATCCCCAGGTGCCAAGGGTCTGGGCTCGCCGTCGTCCCCGGGGAATGTGGAGACCTAGCAGTATGTCGGCGGACCTGGGCATCGGGTTCGCACTGCGGGCAGTGAACGAGCGTGTGCAGCAGGCTGTGGCGCGGCGGCCGCCGGTGAGCACGGGGACCGCGCGGG